ACCTAGGGAAGACGGTGCTGAGAATTAGATGAAGTGATAGAGGGATGCAGGATTGTTAATTTTGGATGGAAATCATGAATAATAAAATCAGTTTTGTGACTAGTGTTGGAGAAATGAAAGCCCTCAGAACAGGCAGTTCCCAGCCCAACCCACAAGCTCAGGACTGGGGTCAAGAGGAAGCTGTGCTGCTACAGAGAAAAGGAAGCTTAAAAATTTTGGCTTGAAGACATGAGCGATAGGATCTGCATTTTTTTCTATTCATAATAACATATCAAGATTAACAAACCTACTTAAAAAAATACCAATGTCACTGTAGGGACTCAAGTTTAGCTCGGGTACTTATTTATTTTTCCTTCTATGTCTCTTCCATCTGTCAAAACTCTCAGCTTGGCACATATTTTTTAAAAGTATCTCACTATTCAGACCAGGCCTGTATGTTGGCAATGTCTGTGTGTCACAGATGCATTGGACCTAGTGCCTAGGAACAGCAGCAAAGACACCACCCGCCGGCTGGCAGACACTGGTGATACAATACTCGTGCAGTATTGTTAATTATCTTTGATTACGTCATTGCAGCAAGTTAAAAGCAGGTTTTAGTGCGCTTCTATTAATTGTTCTCCAACCGCATTGTGGCAAATAGTACATATACACCTCATTTGGGCTCTGTGATTCTTTCATCTTTGCAGTCCCACTGATGGCTCTCCATGCTTGTACTGTGTTTTTTCTGTTTTTGTCAGACATCTCAGGGCATTGATGCTTTCTGGGATTTTCAAGCCTACCCCAAGCACCTCCATCCCTTGAGATTTTCAAACTTGGCAGAAGGCCCTGACCAATCAATCTGTCTTTGAATTTGTCCTTGCTTAGGCAAGAAGCTTACACTGGAGACCTCCAGAGTCCCCTTCAACCTAGACTGGTCTGTGATTCTGTGAGGGATGCTTGAAGGCAACGGCATTTTGGCCTCAAGTAAATTTGCTCCCAAGACTGGGAGCCCCACTCTTTATCTGCAGGCCCAGAGGGGTAAGATCCACAGCTTAAAATTCTATCTCAGGACCACAGAGAGCCAAATTCAACCCAAATTTCAAGTAATTACACAGTATTACATCAGGAAAATGTTCCTGTAAATTTAAAAGCAGCCAGACAGAAGGCAATGCTCTAGGAAGGCAATATGCACCTCCATGTCCTTCCTTGATAATTACACATTGTCTATATCTAAAATGGCTCCATAAACCTCCTTCCTTTCTTAATTATGCAATGCTGCAGAAAGTTGAGATAGTGGAAACTGGACACAGCTAGTCTGCTCAGCATCGTAGTATACAACTCACTGTGGCACAAGGTCTCCTCAGCTAGCAACATCCAAGCTAGGGCTCCAGGAAAACCTAGCCTCAGCACAGTAGACCCCTTATATTGTATTTCAAGATGTCATCAGTAGTTACAGAATGCACGTCTTTTGTTACTAGATGCCAACACCTTCACATTTGCTTTGCTGTGAATAAACTCATTTCACATCCAGAAAGCCAGGGGGCATGCCATAAGGAATGCCAGGAAATTCTCATAAAAACAAACAAACAAAATAGTCTGTTTGTGGCTCCAGGGCATTTTAACAGCAAACCTGGAAGGAGGCAAAGCCCTTGCTCTGCAGCTTTCAAGTCAGCTGAAGGCACCTCAAAAGACCTCTCTTAGCTGCCATATGGGAGACGGGCTGATTCACTGCCTGGAAGGCAGGCCAACTTCTCAGATGGTACCTCCTGTGCTGAGATCATGCGGGTCCCAGACAGTCCTACAAAGAACATATGAACCCGCCACTGGGACAGTAAGATCCGGGGTGCAGCGATGGGTGCTAACCAGTCTGGTTATAATCAATGTGGTTTTGGCTCCTGCAGCGGTCAGTCCTGCGATGACAGGAAATATTTTAGAACTCCGGGGTTAGTTTTAGCAAAAAGCAACACAAAAGAGGGCAAGGGAGAAGAGCTGAGGTTTTTCCTGGGCATGGCTTTGGGACTTAACCAGCAAAATCAGAGACCTTCACCTCTCCCACACAGTACTTGCAACACTTCTGCACTGACCTGGTAACTTAGGAGTTAGCAGTGTCTCAGAGAGGTAAGTTCAGGTGAATGGTAAATTAAGCCAACAGGTGAGACACTAGGCTGGGAACAGCTTCACAGAATTAACCTGTGATGCAATGCCTTCATCTTCACCAGACCTGTGGGCAACAGGCATGTAACAGGCAGCTCCTCAGGAATCCTTGCTCCTGTGGTTACAGGTCATCTTCTCATATTCTCCATACCCAGTCCATTCTGGCCAGATTTCTAAGGTCGTTCAGCAAGCGCACTCAATTCCTAACCAGACACGTACAAAGTGATGTTTTTGAATGCTAAGCTTTGGCTTAGCATTCAAACACTGTGTCCCTAAAAACCTGGAGATGTCTGCCCCAGTTTCAAGTCCCCAGTCCAAAAGCAAAACCAGCTCTATAGCCAAACTCAAATTTTCAGAAAATACGAGTCAGGTCGCCCAAATTTGATTGTATTTGTGTTGTATTGGTTCAGGTCAAATTTAAGGGCCATAGTACTCTGGCTTGGCAGGACTGAGCTGCTGATTCATTAAATTTGCTTGCCCAGACACAAGCAAATATTGAAGGATTGCTCTCCGCTTGCACCTCAGTGACACTTGCACTGTGCTCCTGCAGCCCCATATCCTCTTGTCCCACCACCCAGCTGGCAACCGTGTAGTCAACACAACTCCCATTTCTGTAGTGACTCTGCAACTGCCCATTAATTAATTACAAAACCCTTTCTTCCTCTTTTCCCTTGCTTCCCACACTTACCCTTGCTTTTTGGTAAGGTTTGTTTGGGTTTTATTTGGTTTTTTTTTGGTTTGGAGTGGGGTGTTTTACTTCTTTTTCTGAAAGTTTCTCTTGCTATACTGCTTCCCCTGTGCCCCGCAGACCTCCTATGAAGCGTCCTCTGCTACTTGCAGTTCTCTTGTCTGTGACTGTCTACACAGGGCTGTCACGGAGCACAGACGTCTGCCACAGTAACATAACTGAGCTCAAAATAAATAGCATTTCATCAGTGAACTACATGTGAACCAAAGATTTCAGAAACAAAGAGCATGGATTATTTTATATACTTTATATAAAATACTGTATACATTTCATATACATTATTATTTTACATACTCAGTCTTGCGGAAGTAATCAAGCCTTTATATCACTACCCACATAAGTTTAAAAAAAAGAGCTATCAGTAGATCAGTAACCTTTATTTGCTTTTGTTTCTCTTAATGGAAATTTTTCGTAGAATCTAAAAACACATCTGAGGGCATTCTGAGAACCCACCTCACTCTCCCATTTGCCATCATACACCACCAAACCCTTTACTTGTGTGGAAATACAAAATCAGGAGTGCAGCTATTTGGGCTGCTGTCATGGTTTGAGCCACACAGGACCAATTTATCTTTCAGCAATTTTATTTTTCAGTGAAATTTCTTCTAATGCTTGGGAAAACTGCACTTTTAGAAGACTCTAATGTCCAAATTTGTAAAAATATTTACTTTATAGCCAGCTATGGTATGTGGGTTTCAAGATCTTGGTGTTTTCATGTTAGCCAGGTGGGGATCAGGAGGAGCAGGACCTGGGCACTTGATTCAAGCTGGCCAACTGTGTTTTCATGTTAGCCAGGTGGGGATCAGGAGAAGCGGGACCTGGGCACTTGATCCAAGCTGGTCAACAGGATTATTTCATACCATGAATGTTGCATTCAATATAAATTTATAAGTTTGCTGAGGAGTTTTCTCTGTCTCCCTTGATGGCTGTCATCCTGAGAACTTCTTGCCCCAGTGCCAGACCCCTGAGCCCTTCCCTTTCTCCTGAAGCTGCAGCACTTGCCGTGTCTGACATTTGATGGGGGTGCACAGAATCCTACTAATATAACTGGCTTCTATATTTCATATTGGTATTGGGATCAACATTGGTTCTTTAGTATTATTAATGTTAATTGTTTAGTCGTATACTATGAAATCTGTTTGTATTTCAGCTCACGTGTATCCTTGTTCCCCCTTCGTGGGTGGGGAAGGCTCATCAAGTGATTGGTATTGGGATCAACATTGGTTCTTTAGTATTATCAATGTTAATTGTTTAGTCGTATATTATGAAATCTGTTTATATTTCAGCTCACGTGTATCCTTGTTCCCCCTTCCCGAGTGGTGAAGGGTCATCAAGTGATAAGAATCATAGAATGGTTAGAGTTGGAAGGGACCTTAAAGATCCTATAGTTCCAACCCCCCTGCCATGGGCAGGGACACCTCCCACCAGACCAGGTTGCTCCAAGCCCCATCCAGCCTGGCCTTGAACCCCTCCAGGGATGGGGCAGCCACAGCTTCTCTGGGCAACCTGTTCCAGTGTCTCACCACCCTCACTGTAAAGAATTTCTTTCCGGTATCTAATCTAAATGTCCCCTCTTCCAATTTAGAACCGTTACCCCTTGTCCTGTCACCAAAACCGTTACCCCTTGTCCTGTCACTACACCTCCTGACAAAGAGTCCCTCCCCAGCTCTCCTGTAGCTCCCTTAAGATAATGGAAGGCTGCTAGAAGGTCTCCCCGGAGCCTTCTCTTCTCCAGGCTGAAGAAGCCTAGCTCTCTCAGCCTGTCTTCATAGGAGAGGTGCTCCATCCCTCTGATCATCTTCATGGGTCTCCACTGGACCCACTCCAACAGGTCCATAATTGTCTAAACGACAATAAATTGTTGTGTGGGTCCCTCAAACCATAACGGCCGCCCTTCAGGACACCGGTGCTTTAGCCGCCGGCCCACCACCCGCCAGCTTCTTGCGATTCCCCCCTCTCTCCCCGCCAATTTTTGCTTCCTCAGCAGCACTGCAGATGGGGTTAAGCCACCGCCAGTTTAACCGGGAACCTCCCGGTCCCCGAGCACCAGCGTGAGGCGGAGGGAGGACGGTGACACCCGGCGGTGAAGCTCCCTCATTACCTCGGCCCAGGAGGGGCCGCGCAGCGCCGCCAAGCGCAAACCCCCTTAGCAGTTAAAGCGATGGTTTCCCGGAGAGCCGCCACGTCCCTCTGGAATCTCCCTCAGGCTTTACCTCCTTCCTGACAGGAAAACCTGCGGGAGAGGGAAAGGGAAAAGGAGAGGGAGCGGGAACGGTAACAGGCCCAACCGCCGCCCCACAGCGCCGCACCCGCCTCAGGCCCAACCCCGCGCGTTGCCCCGGAGACGGTTGCCGCGGCGCCGGCGGCCGCTACGGCTCCTTCACCGAGCCCCTCACCGGCCCCGCCGCGACCCGGCCGGACCCCACCATGCTGCCCGCCCAACAGCCGGAGATGGCGGCGGCGACAACGGACTCCGCCGTCCCCTACAGCTACTGCAGCCGGCCCCGCTCCCTGCCCGCCCGCCCGAAGTACCGGGCGCCGCCGGACGCCGCCGAGCCGTGAGTGCCCGGTGTCCGGCCCCGCCGCGTCCATCCCGCCACCCGCGGCCTGCGCGTCCCTGACGGGCCCCGCTGCTCCCTCCTCCTGCCCTTCGCTCCTTCTCCCTCACCGCCTTTCCCCGGGGAGGGGGATCAGAGGGCTGGAGCCCCTCTGCTGTGGGGACAGGCCGAGAGAGCTGGGGTTGTTCAGCCTGGAGAAGAGAAGGCTCCGGGGAGACCTTAGAATGGCCTTCTGGTACCTAAAGGGGCTACAGGAGAGATGGAGAGGGACTCTTGATCAGGGAATGTAGTGATAGGATGAGGGGTAAGGATTTTAAATTAGAAGAGGGGAGATTTAGATTAGATACCAGAAAGAAATTATTTCCTGTGAGGGTGGTGAGACACTGGAACAGGTTGCCCAGAGAAGCTGTGGCTGCCCCATCCCTGGAGGGGTTCAAGGCCAGGCTGGATGGGGCTTTGAGCAACCTGGTCTGGTGGGAGGTGTCTCTGCCCAGGGCAGGGCGTTGGAACTGGATGATCTTTAAGGTCCTTTCCAACCCAAACCATTCTACGATCTGCCAGGGGAAACTAGCACCTCTGGCCCTTCCAAGCCCTTCTGGCCTGTTTGAGGTGTTCATAAATAAACGTAGAGGTTGCAGCCCTGTAGCCACAACTGCCTTGTCCTTGATGTCGCAGAGAGAAGGAACTTCCTCGTTACGTCCACCTGATGTACGACAGAAGAGTGGTGCGCGGAAACACTTATGCGCTTCAAGTCATACCTGTGGTATGTCTTTTATGTGGTTTGTACTGCAGCATTGTTGAAAAGTAATAGGTAGGACAGGAAAACTGTTCCTCGCTAATAATTTTAACTACTGAAGTTGTAATTTTGCTTAAAGTATTTCACACAGTTGCAAGCTCTCCAGTGAAACTAGCATGCAACTGTTTTCAGCCTTTCTTCAAAGTACTTAGTTTCCTGTGAACTTCTGTATTTATGATTTTTTTTTCCCCATTAGGTACTTGATTCCCCCTCTCCCCCCATTTCTTCAACATAATGATGGCTGACAGGCATCATCTGTTACCATATGCATCCACAGGTGTTACCAGTGAGAGCAGCAGCTCTTGGGAAATTAAGTCTTGGGGTAGGCTTTGGCTTACTCTACTAAAGAAGCAGAGCTAGGTGGTCCTGCTGTACATAAAAGCTGCTTGTGTGGAGGCAAAAGTATTTCATTTATCCTGATGCAGTAGTAAATATTTTAGTGATACTTATTGTCAGATAATATTTCTATATAGATACTCTGATCGTATAAGGGTTTAAAGCAGTCTGTATTTTTAAAAGCTACTTTGTGTTGTTCAGCAGCTGTTTCTTAGAGTAAATTTCACCCATGTTCTGTTTCAGAAGTTCGAAAGTGATGTTCATTTCAATCCACAAACACAGTACTGAAATAAAAGTTAGTACGGGTTTCTTTTGCTTCATCAGCAATAAAGAACCTATAATTTTTATCTAGCATACAGTTCTGTTGATAATATGATAACTGGGTTTAAGTCCACTTGACCTTCTTAAAGCTTTACCTAGAAACTCTCACTTGTCAGCAAGAACGTGCCATTTTAACATACTTTATCTCGCAAAGCCACGTTCTGTATATAATATCCACTTCCTAATAGCAACTGATTGCTCTTAGTGTGAGATGCCATTAGGATGTGCCTGTAGGCAGCTAGCATATCTCATTAGTTTCATGCCCTACAGTCTTTAAGGCAACTGAAAATTTAGGGTCAGGACCTAGAAAAGTTAATTCAAAATGCTAGATTTGTAGCATTACAATCAACCAACCACCTTCATTTTTCTGCCGAGAAGAAATTAGTATCATTTCCAAGTACCAAGTGTAATCTGGTTTGTGGTTCACCTAGAAAAGTTAATTCAAAATGCTAGATTCGTAGCCTTCATACTACCGCTACCATACTACATACTACCAGCCTCAACTAACCACCTTCATTTTTCTGCTGAGAAGAAATTAGTATCATTTCCAAGTACTAATTGTAATCTGGTTTGTGGGTTGTTTTTTTTCTTCTTCATCCCTGCTCAGAGTACCCAACCCAGTCTCCATGAGATTCAAAGGCGGAGGGAAGCACGGAGAAGAGCACTGGCCAGGAAGCGCGCAAAAGAGCAAATGCTATCGAGAACACCTGAGCCTGTGGAAGGCAGAGAGCATGTTCATGTGCAGACAGGTAAAAGACTGAATTTTTAAAAAATTCATCTGAAAAAAAAAACTTGCTGATTTATATTCATTTAGTAAATTGATGGGGCAGTTGGTAGAATCACACAGGGTTAAGGTTAGAATCATAGAATTCTAGAATCAGAGGTTCTCAAATTCCTTCTATTATAACCCCTTATTTTTAGTTGTATTTAATAAATTTTCCCAGAGGCTGTGTTTTTCAGTTTTCAGTGTACATTCTTGACCACTAGTCAAGACTTCTTCATTTATTCTTTCCTTTTCCAGTATTGTCAGGCAAGTTTGGTATATGCTTAAAATTGAGGCGTTTTAAAAATTTTGCTTAAGAGTGCAGTTTTATGTAATAATAAAACTAGTATTAAAAACTGGGGGACACACCCTAATTTAGAATAGGAAACTGCCGTATTTGTGGTAAAACAACTTTACTTGTAGGAAAACCAAAAGTTGCCAGTGGGGTAATCATGAGGTGAGTGTAATGTGTAATTTTCAGAGCTGTGCCCTCTGAAAATCCTTTCAGATTGGGCTGATTTACAAACTGGGGAAACAGCTGTGTTACTCGCTAATCAGACATAGTCTTTGGCTGCTGAACATTCCCTCTGCCCAAGCTCCACTGAACCTCCTACACCACCTCCAATGCCCACAGCAGCTTTTCACCATCCAAACACTGCTGGACGCAGAAGGAGGCTATCTAGTGTGGAAGTCCTGCTTTCATATCCTTCCCACTGACTAGTGCAGATAATTTTTAGTACTTTGAGGGTGGCAGAGCCCTGGAACAGGCTGTCTGGAGAGGTGGTGGAGTCTCCATCCCTGGAGACATTCAAAACCCGCCTGGACATGTTCCTGTGCCACCTGTTCTAGGTGGGTCTGTTCTGGCAGGGGGCTTGGACTAGATGATCTCCAGATGTCCCTTTCAACCCCATGTGATTCTGTGGTACTCCACAGAATAATAATATCTGAGCCAGGCTATTTATCTCTGCAGTAGGAGACAGACAGTTATAATTCAAATCAAGCACATGTAGTTACAGATGTGTGGTTACCTCAAAGCCACTTCTGGTGGGGTCAGAAGTGGAGCATCATTCTTTAAACCCAACAGATCCAGTGTTCTGGTTTGCTGCATACAATAGAAAAAATACATATTTCCAATATCACTCATTAGTACACAGCCAATCATTATCCTTTTTTGAAATTGTCCTATCCTGTTGACTCTCCTAAGAATTGCTTATTCTGCAAGGTGGGCTGAAATGGACCAGACTGACTTTTGAAACCTACTTATTTAGGAAGTGCACCAGACATTACAGAGAATGTGACATCAGATGGCCTCTGCAGCAAGCTGAGAAATGTTTTAAGTTGAGGTGTGCCTTTTTTTCTTTTTTTTTTTACTTTATAGAAGGCATTTTTTTTTGCACTCTTTGGATATAATTCAAGTTCTCTATAGAGTCATCAAAAATAGTTAACAGTTAAAATAAAAAGAATCCAACTTACAGCTTTCATTGTGCTTTTATTTCTAGAGCTGTATTTGGAAGAGATTAGTGACCAGATAATAGAGGTTGATATAGAGTGTCAAACAGATGCATTTTTGGACAGACCAGCCACTCCACTCTTCATACCAGCCAAAACAGGAAAAGATGTGGCCACACAAATAGAAGAAGGAGAGGTATGAGGCGAAGTCAGGTTCGCAAGTGCTGTCAAACCAGGTCTGCCATACAAAATAAGTTTCTAATGCAAAATTGAGGCAGAAGCAGAAAGAAACTTTTCCTCACAAAAAAGAAGAAAAGTCTCCAATATTTGCTGTGAGGTTAAGTGCAAAAGTAAGAAAGGTGCTTCTCTATAAGCACTGGTTCTGCTGCTTTCAGCTAAGAACTGCAATGCTGAGAAATGCTCTCTCCTATAGAAAGAGTGTCCAGCCCGAGAAGGGTCTGGAAATCCCGAGGTGAGCAGAAATAGGGTCCAAGTGAGTGCTCTGCTTCTCCCTGGCAGCCCCCACCGTGGCTGGGGTAGGGTGTGTGGTATCTCCCTCCAGCCCACTCATCACTGAGCCCCAGCTGCATTCATGCTTCTGGCTTTGGCTGTCACTGGGTCCCCACCTGCACTTCTCAGGCCTGTCTTCAGCACATGGGCTTTGTTCATCCTCCTCTTCTCCTTGCCAAGATGTGAGGACTGATTGTGATCGAGGGTCATTGATTTCTGTTTTCTTGACTCCCATCCTCAGCTGTTTGACTTTGACATCGAAGTCAAGCAGATCCTGGAAGTGTTGGTTGGGAAAACGATTGAGCAAGCTTTGCTGGAAGTCATGGAAGAAGAAGAGCTGGCCCAGCTGTGGGCACGGCAGCGTGCCTACACAGAGCTGCGTAACGCAGAGCTTGCTGAAGCACAGCGCCTGGAAGAGCAGGACAGGCGATACAGAGAGGAGAAGGTAGGACTTCCTAAGAGCAAAACAGGCCCATCTGAATGCTTATCAGAAGAGAAAAAAACATTTCCAGTATCAAAAGACAAGCTGTGAAAATAAGCTGGATGTGCCCAAAAGGGTATTATCAAGTTTGATGTTCCTCAAAGCATTTTGGTGCCATACAGCTGCTCTCGTGCACTAGCACCACGCTGTTGTGTTTATTTGGAGCAGTCACGCTCCAGTGAACTGGTGTACTCCAACACCTGATTGAGAAGCTGAACCCAACAGTACCATTTGTGCCTGGTGCAGCTGTTACTCAAGCCTTTTCAGTATAGTAACTGCTAAATGAATCATCAGGGAGCTTGAAAGTAAGAGAGGCACCTCCTAGTCTTTCACACTCAATGCACGCACTACTGGATGTGCACACGTGCCTCTCAAGATCTCCAAGTACTAAGCTGTATTAGTACTATTAGTAAATAGAAAGGGCAAGTCTTAATTACTTGCTCTTCCTCAGCCTTATATATTTGGTGTTTTTTTCCATGATTTCCTGGACCAATATGAGTTTTAATTTTTAATTATATCAACTAGGATATAAAATTGGAAAGAAAAAAAGTTCAGGAAATCCTGACTCCATCTTATTCCAAGGCCAACGATCAGCTTTATCTGTAATAATAAACCAAATAATCATAAGATGAATGCATATTAAGGTATCAGAGAAGGGTCTCATTTGGCCCGATCAGCTTTATCTGTAATAATAAACCAAATAATCATAAGATGAATGCATATTAAGGTATCAGAGAAGGGTCTCATTTGGCCAGCTACAAGTCCCTTATTTTACAGACTTGCCAAAATCAGAAAAGGTATCCCAAAGGAATGTGTTTCCCTCTAGTCCTTTTGCTCTTTAGTACTCTACAGACTGAGTACAAATTTGCTTTCAAGCACTTGTTCATATGAGAAGTTTTTGTGAAAGTTAAAGGCCATAAGCATCAGTACTCTTAGCTTTGCTATTTCTCACCCTGTAATCATTCTTCAAAGTCTAGATCAAAGGAGTAATGGCTAAAGGCCTGAAAGTTTTACATGCAATATTGTCTTGACAGGAACGTCGCAAACTCCAGCACATGCAAATGCTGCAGAAACAGAAAGAGACCACAGAGAAAATTGCAGCTCGGGCGTTTGCTCAGCGTTACCTGACTGATCTCATTCCCTCGGTCTTCAACAATCTTCGTGAGAGTGGCTTTTTTTATGACCCTATCGAAAGAGGTTTGTATTTTATTTTATTTTTTTAACACGTGAACTGAGAAATGCAAAGGTCAAACCAACCATAAAACATAGCTTATTGTCCTATGATTTAGAATAATATCACAAGACTTTATTCATTTACATTTGTGGATGAAGATACAGTTTCTAAACTAAAATTTTTGAAAAAAAACATTGATCATCTGTACAAATCATCAAGAATAAGCAAGAACTGACAGTGTTACAATGGGAGGAGGTGCTTTGAACTGGAGAGAAATAATGAGTGGTTAGGAATTGGTAGAGCAGAGAGAGAGAGATCCAAATCAAAGTAAATGTATTTTGATACAATGAAATCTATATGTCATTCTGAATCTTTGATAATGATTATCAGAGCAATGGAGAAATTATTCAATTATAATTCAGCCCTGAAAATAACTTTGGAGTTGTATATTGGTGACTTCCAAGCTTTTAGAATCAGCAGCATTTCTGATAGGCCACCTTGCTGCACCTCGTTTCCCCAGGCAATGTACAGGTGCCTGGGGAATGGATACACTCTCTCCAGGACAGTCATGGGGCAAATGCAGAAACTGAGTATATTTTGCAAAGAGGGCAGGCTTTGGGACCATGGCATACAAAGAGCATGATTTAAGAAAGCAAGAGCTCTTTAGTCAGAGGGAACAAATGCTTTCAGCTGACCAGAAGCCAGACGTCTTTGGAAAGCAAGGCAGGAAATGTTATTCTTCTGACTTGTTCAGGATAGTTATTTTCATCTGACTAGAACATGACTGCGTATCTCATCTGTGCTAGCCCTTCAAGGGTGCCAGACCCCTTTGAAAATCAACTGAAGTTCAGAGGACTCTGGTCTGGGTTCATAACAATGAGGAACCTCAGTAAGAGATGCAGGACAGCATCTCTTAAGAAACTCAACAGCACCTGAGAGATTTAATCTGGCCCTTGCAAAGCAAGTGTCTTTTGCCAAGGATGTTCATCCCTTAATGATCCTACCAAATGAAAAACAGCTTCAAGATCCTGTTGTTCATCCTTAATAAAAAGACATTTTTTCCCTTACTTTATTCATTTACATTTGTGGATGAAGATATAGTTTCCAAACTAAATTTTTTGCTTTATTCATTTACATTTGTGGATGAAGATACAGTTTCTAAACTAAAATTTTTGAAAAAAAACATTGATCATCTGTACAAATCATCAAGAATAAGCAAGAACTGACAGTGTTACAATGGGAGGAGGTGCTTTGAACTGGAGAGAAATAATGAGTGGTTAGGAATTGGTAGAGCAGAGAGAGAGAGATCCAAATCAAAATAAATGTATTTTGATACAATGAAATCTATATGTCATTCTGAATCTTTGATAATGATTATCAGAGCAATGGAGAAATTATTCAATTATAATTCAGCCCTGAAAATAACTTTGGAGTTGTATATTGGTGACTTCCAAGCTTTTAGAATCAGCAGCATTTCTGATAGGCCACCTTGCTGCACCTCGTTTCCCCAGGCAATGTACAGGTGCCTGGGGAATGGATACACTCTCTCCAGGACAAGTCATGGGGCAAATGCAGAAACTGAGTATATTTTGCAAAGAGGGCAGGCTTTGGGACCATGGCATACAAAGAGCATGATTTAAGAAAGCAAGAGCTCTTTAGTCAGAGGGAACAAATGCTTTCAGCTGACCAGAAGCCAGACGTCTTTGGAAAGCAAGGCAGGAAATGTTATTCTTCTGACTTGTTCAGGATAGTTATTTTCATCTGACTAGAACATGACTGCGTATCTCATCTGTGCTAGCCCTTCAAGGGTGCCAGACCCCTTTGAAAATCAACTGAAGTTCAGAGGACTCTGGTCTGGGTTCATAACAATGAGGAACCTCAGTAAGAGATGCAGGACATAAGAAACTCAACAACACCTGAGAGATTTAATCTGGCCCTTGCAAAGCAAGTGTCTTTTGCCAAGGATGTTCATCCCTTAATGATCCTACCAAATGAAAAACAGCTTCAAGATCCTGTTGTTCATCCTTAATAAAAAGACATTTTTTCCCTTATTTCTTCCTGCTAAACGCTTACAGATATTGAGACAGAATTCCTTCCGTGGCTGATGACAGAAGTGGAAGAAACACTTGAGAGGAAGGTTCTAGGGAGGACAATGCTTGACTGTAAGTTACCAAATCCTGGAATGTAATCTGGGCTGCTTGATGTTCTTGATTGTTTTTTCCCCACTGAGCACAAATATCACATTTTACACGGTCATTGTGAGTTAAGGTAGCAGGTGTCATTTTGGACAGAGCTCCAAGTACCCGTGGCTTTTTGTGTTAGGGTTTTCTTTTTTACTATATTAAAACATTTTTAATGTTGGAAAACTACTGCTACATACACTTAGGTAATTGATTTTCAGCTGCAATAATGGAAGCGTCAGTCATGCTGCACTACTTTCTCTCTGCTGGCTTTATACTGTTTGAGATGTGTTGATGCTGGGAGATGTAATACATTTGGAGGAGCAGAATGGTTAAAGAAGACCAATTATTTTCTCTGCTATATAACTTATATTTCCTATGTGTTACACGACCATCATCGCTGTGCTGTTCTCTGTAGTGTGTCTGATTGTGCCAGTGGAAACACAAAAGCTCATCCTGCCTACAGCCACGTGTATACCACAAAAGTCTCTTAACTTGTTTGTGTGAGCTTCCTGAGCTACAGAGTAATATGTTCATCCTACATGAAAGGAGAAGAGGGATAATCATAGGCCATGGCTGACTGAGAAGTCAGGTAACCAGCACTTTTCATCAAAACAAAGGCTTATCTCCTCAGCAGTCAATAATCATATCACAGAATCACACAATGGTTAGAGTTGGAAGGGACCTTAAAGATCTAGTTCCAACCCCAGCTGCCAGGGGCAGTGCAAGTGTCTTTTGCCAAGGATGTTCATCCCATAGTGATCGTAGCAAATGAAAAACAGCTTCAAGATCCTGTTGCTCATCCTTAATAAAAAGACATTTTTTCTTCTTTCTTCCTGCTAAACGCTTACAGATATTGAGACAGAATTCCTTCCATGGCTGATGACAGAAGTGGAAGAAACACTAGAGAGGAAGGTTCTGGGGAGGACAATGCTTGACTGTAAGTTACCAAATCCTGGAATGTAATCTGGGCTGCTTGATGTTCTTGATTGTTTTTTCCCCACTGAGCACAAATATCACATTTTACACGGTCATTGTGAGTTAAGGTAGCAGGTGTCATTTTGGACAGAGCTCCAAGTACCCGTGGCTTTTTGTGTTAGGGTTTTCTTTTTTACTATATTAAAACATTTTTAATGTTGGAAAACTACTGCTACATACACTTAGGTAATTGATTTTCAGCTGCAATAATGGAAGCGTCAGTCATGCTGCACTACTTTCTCTCTGCTGGCTTTATACTGTTTGAGATGTGTTGATGCTGGGAGATGTAATACATTTGGAGGAGCAGAATGGTTAAAGAAGACCAATTATTTTCTCTGCTATATAACTTATATTTCCTATGTGTTACACGACCATCATCGCTGTGCTGTTCTCTGTAGTGTGTCTGATTGTGCCAGTGGAAACACAAAAGCTCATCCTGCCTACAGCCACGTGTATACCACAAAAGTCTCTTAACTTGTTTGTGTGAGCTTCCTGAGCTACAGAGTAATATGTTCATCCTACATGAAAGGAGAAGAGGGATAATCATAGGCCATGGCTGACTGAGAAGTCAGGTAACCAGCACTTTTCATCAAAACAAAGGCTTATCTCCTCAGCAGTCAATAATCATATCACAGAATCACACAATGGTTAGAGTTGGAAGGGACCTTAAAGATCTAGTTCCAACCCCAGCTGCCAGGGGCAGTGACACCTCTCACTAGATCAGGTTGCTCAAAGCCCCATCCAGCCTGGCCTTGAACACCTCCAGGAATGGGGGAACACTTCCAGGGATGGGGAATGTCCTTGCTTTTGAAATAGATTAAAATACCAGCCATCTTTTGGGCTAAATCAAGCTAAGTATTCAGGTTCTTTTATTAGTCAGTCTTCGGAGGCTGTAGTTGAAATACATGAACAATCTAAACTCTGTCGTGTGTGGAAACACAGAATTATGATAAATGCATGTCCACTATGGTGGTCCTAGACCAAACCACTTTTTATACTTGCATTACATCTTTCATTCCTATAGTTTTCTTTCTGCTGTGATTTTTGGAATTGAATAACAATTGTGTTTGTTTCCTTTGGGTTTGTTTTCTGTTTAACTAGGGTCCTTTGTTAGGATATAATTTGGATAATTACAGCTGGTCTGTTAGTTGTTTCATCCTATGATATATGTGCTGGTACATACACTCTAGGTTCACTTCATGTAACTTCTTCAGATGGGAGGGAATTTTCTCTCCTTTTAAGAAAGAAATATTTTATGGGACTACTGAATAAACATCCCAAGGAGGATGCTGCTGCAGGATACACTATTGATGAGAACATCTATCATATTCCTATTAAATCTTTCTGTTTAATTTTTTAACCAGGTATTGTGGTCGGACATCAGACACACAGGGCACCTGGAGCAGGCCAATAAGTGATGACAGCAGCCCCTGTTTTGCTATTTACCCTCTGTATTTCCTATTTATACCCAATTACCCACTGTTGACTAAACATCATCTCTGCAAAAGCAATTGCAAATTAGATTCTCCAAGTTTTGTAGAGGCAGACACAGCCTTGGCTGAGACAGTTTGTGGCTTCTTCCCCCACTTACGGAACAGCATAGGAAAAATCTCTACGGATCCATTTTTAACACATTTGAATGAAGATTCTCCTTAAAGAATTTATTTTCTTACTGTGAACTACAAGGGAAGCACCCATAGTGTAAGGCAGAAATGTTTGTCCTCTCAGAGAAGTCAACCCATGTATTAACAATGACACTCTTTTTAGTACCTGTACATTGTCCTGTTTTCTGTGTTACACTTCTCTTCACTGTTGGCCTCTGTTTTTCATGTTTAAATGATGTAAATCACAGTGAGTGTTGATTTTTTTTGTCTGTTTTTCATGTTTAAATGATGTAAATCAAAGTGAGTGTTGATTTTTTTGTTGTTGTGGTTGTGTTCTTTGATTTGGAAGGGTTATAACGTTTAGAAAAAAATTATGAAGGCTAAACAGGAATAGGTGCTTTAACAGCTGCTTTTCAGAAAGATAAAGTCTTGTGATGACTCCCATGGTTCCAGTATTTCCCACTGCCAAAACCATCATGGTGTGTGCAACCTGGCTAGTCCTTGTGACTATAAGTTTCTAAGAAGAATTTATTTTTATGACTGGAATTGAAACTGATTTGGGCATTGGGGTCAGTGGGAGGTTCACCTCAGGGTGACCTGCTCCAGAAGTGAGGAACAACTGTGAGGAAATGAACAAAACTATCCAGGTGAACCCTTTCAAATCACTGCTTTCAGTCTAAACCACTCGTTTGGCTGGAAGTAGGCTACAGCAGCAGGGATGTTTTTTCTCATTCTAGTATTTTTTTCGTTTCTTGTGTTATTTTGGTGTTGTTTTTTTATCCCTGTTCAAGAAGTTATAGATCAGTAATATATAAAGTAATCTCAAATTATAGGGTTTTTTTCCTCCATGTTTGCTAATGGTGGCTTTCTCTCTTTCAGCCTTGATTAGTACAGTGGTTGAAAACCGCCTAGATGCATTTAGCCGTGAACCTCTGCCTGATCAGGCAGGGGCACCTGCTGAAGAGCCCAAGCCAACTGAGGCAGCACCCCAGGAGGCTGGTGAGACAGATGCTGCTGACCAACTGGTCACAGACAAGGAAGAGACTGATCCACCCATCACAGAGAAGGAAGAGTCTGATCCACCCATCACAGAGAAGGAAGAGTCTGATCCACCCATCACAGAGAAGGAAGAGACCGACCAACCTGTTGCTGAAGAACAGCTTTCACGTCGCACCTCTTCCCAGTTAGACGAGACAGATCAAGCAGGAACAGAGGATTTGGAAATCGAGTAACAAGCAGGCAAGTCATCAAGCAGATGGAGAGGAATGGCTTAGCTGGAAGAAGAAACTAATTCCTATCTATTTACAAGTATTGTGCCCTAGCCATGCTGAAGGATGAACCCAAGCAGCAGTAGAGCATTAAAGTGTGTTTTCTGTATGCTGGCATTGCTGATTTCAGGCTGTAAGAAGCAAGACAGAGGTTACTAGTGCAATGAATGGCAGTGAAATGCCATCCCCTTCTACACAGTCCAGTCCATCAAAAACCTGGGATGTTGACAGTTGAAAAGTAACACTGTCCCACACCCTGTGCTAGGAGGTGTGGGACATGGTGGGTGGTGGGTGTCACAAGAAGGACACTGAGAGCATCTTAATAACCTTTGCAAGTTCTCAGAGCAGAGTTTCCTTACTTTCCCTGTTTTGAAGCATAACTGCTATGGCACTTAGATAAATTTCTTATCACTCATGTTAGTCTCTCCTTTCCTGACAAACTTAGATGGACATCTCAGCAGGTAATAGAGCAAAGGCTGTTGTTGCTCTTCAAGTTCAAAGAGGTACCTGCCACTGGGAATTTCTGCCCAGTGCAAAATCCTCCTCAGCTTCCTGACTCTCAGAGCCCTGGTGAGGGGCTGGAGCCATGTGCTAAGTCCAGCCTCAAGTTTTTTTATAATTGTCCTTTCCTGCTGTTTCACTGGAAATGGTACCAGACATGACTGATAAAATGGTGGCCTGCACTGCCACATGTATCTGTCCTTTCACAGGACAACTCCATAAGTAGGGCATTCCCCCTCATCAAAACACATCTGTGCTCCATTACAGTGACATCGTTTCCTGGCTGTGGCTGTGGAAAAAAGCCCTGCCTTGTCTAGACTGCTTTGTGCTACCTCCTCTTGCAGGTCAGAGGAGACGTGTGCTAACCCAGCAGGCCAGTGAGATGTCAGGAATGAAACTTGAAGAGACAAACACCTGCTCCACATCTCATGCCCTCAAAAGGGACATCCAGGCTTTTCACTGGACCACTTGTACATGTGGCCTCACGTACCTGGATGGACCCTGCCTTCCCTCTATCCTGGGCTAGGACATCCACTGATAATCAGGGCAGCTGTTGCTGACGTGGAAAACCCCCCTTGGAAGGTGTCAGGTGTTCACCTCTCTGTATGTAGTTGAAAATCAGAAGTAATGGGATGTAACCACCAAAAAATACACTAAGTGGTTTGGTGTAATATGACTATGTTAAAACTGACTGTCTGGAGTCACATAGTACAGACTGTAGACAGAGATACCCAGGGATGCTTTTCAAAGCTGGAATATTCCCCTGTAAACTCCTTCTCCGTTTGCTAAGTTCACAGTATGTCAACAAAGCGTGCTTGTTTTTTTATTTTTGTTTGATTCCTCAAGGCATCCAGCAAAATGTGTTACATATACAAAATTAAGGTAGTTGGCGCTCACTACATCTGTCTATAAGTTTCTAAGAAGAATTTATTTTTATGACTGGAATTGAAACTCTGATTTAGGCATTGGGGTCAGTGGGAGGTTTACCTCAGTTTCAGTAGGACCAAGATTTTGCATCACGGTTTTTTTTTATTCCCACGATGATGGAGACTCCTGTCGTGACTTCATGTAAATAACTTCAGGCTAATTTTATCTAGAGAAGTAAAAAGGCTTTGTGACATGATTCATGAGAATTGTAGATGTTTCAGCTCCTCTTTGGGACACTGTATGTCAGTTTTAAGGATTCCTCATTACTGAATGATTGTTTTGTCGTGTATTTAGAGGAGAATTAGTATAATGTAAAGGACTGCCATGGACCATTTCTGAAAAGATGTCAGCGAATGCTGACTTGAATGTTTTGTTTAGGAAGGTTATAAGAGGAAGGCGAAGAGAAAAATGTTCTCATTTTTGTCACTCCTGCTTTGTGTTTTATGGCTAGAAAATTTACTTGAAGTGTTGGATTATACTATTTAAATAGGTTGTGGCACTATTATGTATTCTTAAATTACTATTAAAAAAATAATGAATTGTATGCCTACAATTTTAAGTCATTAGAATGTACAGAATGTGTATTGTGGGAGAGTTTGCTGTAACGCACTCAGCCTCCCCACACCCTTCCCCTCCAAATCCTCTTTCTCTGGTCTGTGTCCCCACAGCAGCGTGTCCCTCGAGTGGGTGTGTGGGTGCGAGGAGGAGCAGAGGGGACAGGAGGAGATGGTGCTGCAGGCACTAGAGGGCAGGACAGGCCACAGCAATCGGCTGCAGAGACATGTATAGAGACACTGATGTCACCTATTGTACACCCTGCACTAGTGGCACCCCTCTGGACTTCCCTCTTCTGATAAACCTTTTGCAAAATTTCCTCATAACATGAGGAGCTAACACGTAGGGTCATCCAACATAGTCCACGCTAAGATCATAATTTCCTCATAACATGAGGAGCTAACACGTTAGGGTCATCCAACATAGTCCACACTAAGATCATAGAATCACAGAGACTTTTAAAGATCATGCCCAGGCTGGGCACCTGTCAGTTAAATCCTCAAACAGTGTGTGTGCACAGTGGGGCTTCTGAACTTTGTGTGTTTTTATCAAAAGCAGCTGTTTACAATATGACTGTATCCACGTGTGTTCCATCTATTGATTTCTCTGCAAACAGCCAAAGCATTAGTCCAACAACCAGCTCAGCAGTTTAGCTCCATGTTTACTTCAACACCCGCTTGAGAAGTGGGAAAGACATTGAAAAATTTACTGCCTGGCCCTGATTGAGTTTGGGAATCCTCTTGTTAGTGATGGACTGAACTGGACTCTCCACACGCTGACAGACTGGCAGCAATTTGTTGAGTGTAAAATTGGTTTGCTGGTGACAGAAATCACAGGTTTCAAAGAGCTGCAGAGAGAATGAATAAAAAGAATACACCTATTGAAGTGTTTGCTCGCTTGCTTATATGCATATGTTCAACATGAACCTCAACTTGTCCATCTTTAATGGCTACAGCCTTGGGAGCCCACAGAAGCTGTATTACTTCTTACTTATTACTACAGTGCTATTACTTTATTACTTCTTGAGGAGGGATCTGATCAACGCCTATAAATACTTAAAGGGTGGGTTGTCAAGAGGATGGGGCCAGTCTTATTTTCAGTGGTACCCAGAGACAGAACAAGACGAAATGGGCACAAACTTGAACATAAGACCTTCCTTCTAAGCATGAGGAGGAACTTCTTCACTTTGAGGGTGGCAGAGCCCTGGAACAGGCTGCCCAGGGATGTGGTGGAGTCTCCTTCTCTGGAGACATTCAAAACCCGCCTGGACACGTTCCTGTGCAACCTGCTCTAGGTGGACCTGCTTTGGCAGGGGGGTTGGACTAGATGATCTCCAGAGGTCCCTTCCAACCCCCTATCATTCTGTGATTCATTCTGTACTGTAAGAGCAGCAATATTCAGCAACAGCCCTGTGGTGCTCACAAAGCCATGGTGATTCCTGTCCTGCCCTCCTGCAAGAGACACCTTTAGACCACTAGGACAGTATCTATTGTAGTGAAATAATGAAACTCACCGTCAGGGCTGCTTTACTGGTACAAACCAGAAGCTGGACGTGGCCTGGAGTTCATTTCAGTGGTCTAACTGTGATGCTGCTTTATTGCAGTATTACTCTAGTTATAAACTGCCTTATGGTTAAAAGCAGAGAACTTGCCCTAGGAAGCAAGGCTGAAAGCACTGGGTGTGTTCACCCTGGGGAAGAGAAGGCTGGGCTGGATCTGATTGTGGTTCCCCAATGAAAAAGGTGGAAGCATCTCCACAAGGATGACCTCGAACAGGACAAGAAGACACAGCCACGAGTGGCTCCAGGGGACGCGCCAGGGCGCAAGTCTGCAACAAACCTCCAAGATAATGAAGCAAAATCGGTATCTGCGTAGGAAAGTCTTCATGCTGTGGGGTGCCTTCCTTGGCAGGAGTCACCGACCGCCGGCGCAGGTGAGGGGCCCACAGGATCCTGGCAAGAGCGGCCACCTCCGGGCTCCACAGCCGGCGGGAAAGCTACGGGCCGCGACGCTCCTTTTTAACAAGTTTCCCGGCAGCAGAGCAAGCCCTCGGGCACCGGCGGCCGAGCTGCACCCCGACCGGGATGCCTGGGCCCACACCGGCCCCGGAGAACCCCTCCCCGCCGGCCTCGGAGAGCCGCTCCGGAG